GAGCATTGACCCCCCTATACAGAATTTTATTGTTGTTAACAACCATTTGATCAATAAATATGAGAGATGCCCTCTCAAAAAAAAAGAAAAAAAAAGATGTAGCTCAGGAACAGCCAGATGGAAGAGATGCACAGGGCAGGGCGTGCGGAAAGGGACAGGCTCCGTGAGCTCTCCAAGCATGCCACTCTGGCAGCACCTCCGCATGCTCACCATTGCCTTCATTTGATAACTGCTGTTGTTTTCTTTGTCCATGCAGGTGGGTCCTCGGCACAACGGACGATGTTTTTATCAGAACTGAGTCCTATGGCTCTGATGCCACCTCCCATGTCCTCTCCATCCCCGAAAGCACCCGTCTCCCATCTGCTCAAGCCCAGAATCATTCTCAGTTTTTCTCTCATGTCTCATCCAAGCCACCACACATTTCTGTTCAATTCTACCTCAAAATCCACATTGAATAGACATGTGTCCCTTCACCTCCACACTCAGCACCTGGTCCACACCTTCCTCAGCTTTGTAACCGGTGTCTTTCTTTCTGCCCTTTCTTTCTGTAGTGTCCTGTCTTTGTAACAACCATGCTGACATTTTAAAATAGAAAATAGGCTATAGGGAGTATTTTTTTTTACCAACACCTCAAGTCTGAATCTAATAAAGCCTCTGGAGCTGACAGCTTACAGAAAATACAGAAGCAGAGGAACATGTTAAAGACACCACAGAGATGGTAAAATCTAGACTGTGGGAAAACTTGAAATGAAAAATGACCTAGCGTTTTCAACAAATAAACAAAAAAACACCATGTGCCGTGGAAACCTATACATTAAAAGCGGCTTGTGACTCATGTCATCTGCAACATGTGGAGTTTGTTTGGCCCGATTTGAACACATCAATTGTAGGCAATCTTTTATGAAACAATCGGGGCGATTTGAATATTGATTGAATCTGTGATGATGACAAGGGATTTTTGTCATTTCTGAGTGTGATAATGGTATTGTGACTATGTTAAAGATAGTTTAAGATACACACTGAAAGTATTTATATATGATATGATATGGGATTCGCTTAAAATGAATGCAGTGGGGGAGTGGGTGGAGGTACAGTCAGTAATTGCCAGACCTGGATATATGGGGTTCATTGCATTGTTCTTTCTACCTTTGTACATTTGAAAATTTCCACAGTAAAATGCTTAAAAATGTAAATCAGATCACATAACCCATTGAACACCTGTTACTGGCTTCCTGTCATAGCTATTACAAGGCAAAATGTTTATGCTGGCCCACAATGCCACGTGGGCTCTGCACCTGGCCTACGTTTCTGCTATCACCCTTTCTCTAGCTCAGCCTCACCTTCAGGACCTGCACACTTGCTTTTTCTCAGACTTTGTAGTCCTCCCCCAACCTTCACCCACTGGTTCTCTCTCATTCAGGGCCAGTTAATCTACCTCCAACCCAGTGAGGCCTTCCCCATATACAAACTCTAAAATAGAATTCTCCACCCTCCACCCGCGGTCATTCTGTCCCCTCACCTTGATTTATTTTCTTCATTGTAGTTTACTGAGTAAAACAATTTCAAAGAGTGTGATTTGTTCACTTATCCCATGTCTATGTCTCCCACTAGATTATCGGCTCTGTGCAGGTAGGGATTCTGCATTATTTTTTAGGATATCCCTGTACCCGACACAGTGTCCAGGACATTATTAAACATTTATTGAATGGGTGAATGTATTCAAGAAGAGAGTGAAAACCAAAAGCATCCACCCCACACTCAGCCTCAACACAGGGAACCCAAATCACATTTTACTGCCTAGATTAACATGACTTTGTCATCCTGTGTCTTCAGTTGTGTTTGTTGTTTTCTGTCCAGCTCTGGCAAATGAGGACAGCCTGTGGGTAAAATTGAACATTTCCAGAATATCTCACCTGGCTTTAGTACATCTGCATATCAATAGTTCAGGAGGAAAGGTAAGTATGGCTTTACAGCGTTTGCATCATTCCTCAGGGGTGGAGAGAAGTTCATCTCCATATCAATGGGTAATTACCTGGGCAAGGAGGGCTTATCTGTACCCCACAGGAGAGAGGAGGACTGGTTTTGCTGCTGCTGAAGCAGGAAAGAGGGCCCTGGACTTCAGTTTGTAAGAAATAAACAGATTTTAAACTTTATTTTTCCCTTTGACTGATTTCGGTTTTTAGAGGTATTTTGCCCCAGGATTTCCTTTCCCCAGACTTACACAGCCCATCTGCAATTAAAACCAGGATTATTTAAATCCCCTTGCCTTGCTGTTTCCACCAATTTTTTAAATTGTTTTACAAGGGGTTCTTATCCAGTCACAGCCAATACCCTAAACTGAAAGACCCACCTTAAATCAAACTTCCAATTCTCAATAAATCCTCACCGTACCTTCTCCTGAGACACTACCAATGCTTTTCCAACAGGGTTCTCCCTTATCTGAGTAATCAATCATGTTTTGTCTGATCAGCAGGTTGTGTTTGTGGTATTTGTAGAGCCAGCTTTTGATAAGAGCAAAGGAAACATTTTAACCCCTGGGGACTTGGGTCTTGACCGGGGAAATTGGAGCCTGAGGCAAAAGGAAAAATCAGTAATAATGATCTTGTATCTGAAACTTAGGTATTTTATTCATTCTGGATTTTCTTGCACTTATTTTTATTTTTTTTAATGTTCCATTAAAATACTATTAATCTTGATCCTATTTTTGGCGTTCCCTTAAATTGTAATCACGATGCATGCTTTGCTCATCTAACCCTATTCTCAGTACTGTTACTAAAAACTCATGCAATAAGGACCAATATAGCTTTAAAAAAGAGGGTTAGTATGTTGTTTAAAGTTACCGAGGTAAATTAGGGGGAGAGAAAGAAGGGAATGGTGTAGCGTGATCTATCGTCATTATCTTGACATGAAGTCAAAATGTAACACGAACAAATCAAGAAATACCATGTACTTATCAATTTTTTAGCAACAAAACCAAAAACACAACTATTTAAAAGCGGCTGCCTCTCAGGATGGGGAACTTTGCTTTTCATTACAAATCCATACCGTTTCTTAAACGTGTGCGTTTACTACACCGATGACTATGACAACTGTGAAAACGTATCTGGATTCCAAGACCTCCCAGCGCACCGCCAGGTCTCCACGCCCACCCCGTAAACAGGGAGGGGCGCCGCGACCCCACACCCAGTTCCCCGCAGCCCGCGCCGACTACAAAGATGCCACATTCTTTAACAAAAGATAGCCGGAGCCTCTCCCCAGTGCGACTTTTGTCTCGTCCATTTTTTTCTCCCATCTGTAAGGATTTTAGGAACTCCTACAACCTCCTTGTCAACTCCTCAAAGCCCAGGGACCCACCGCGCCAAGGCCGAAAAATCCCCACCCAACTGCCCGTCATTTCCGGGGAGGCCTGTGCGCGCGGACCGGAAGCGGATCGTCGGGCGAGTCCCAAGCCGCAGGCGCAGTCCTCCTCCCCTCCTCCTCTTCGCCCCGCCCCCTCCCAAGCCCCTCACCCACCGGTCAGGGCGGAGCTGCGGCCTAGGGTCCCTGCCTTCCGCTCTGCGTGACCACGTAACGAAGGAGGGACGGGTCGCCGAGAGCGCGTAGCGTTCCTCCCAGGAGAATTTCCTGATCTTCCCGGGTCGGCTCCGGGGGCTGCTCTGGGGCTCCTTCGGACGACAGCAGAGGAGTCACCCGCCCCGCGGCCGGTCGCGGTCACGGCGCCCACGCCGGCGCCGCCTCAGCCTCCGCCTCGGCCGCTGCAGGTCGAGCGTGGAGGGGCCGCGGTGAAGGAGAAGGGGCGGGCCGGGGCGGGCCGGCGCAAGCGGGGGCGGGGACTCGCTCAGTCCTGGGGCAGCTCTTAGGGTCGGGCCCGCGCTGGAGCTGCGGTCGCCTGTCGTCGCCGTCACCTCTTCTTGTCCACCCTGTGCTGCTGCGATGGCTGTCATGAACCAGGACCTTCGCAGGGAGCGGGCCGCCGCCAGCTTCACCCCGGAGCTGCTCACGCACGTCCTGGACGGCAGTCCCGAAAACACCCGGCGCCGCCGAGAGATCGGTGAGGGCGGCGCGCCGGGCTTCTCTGCTTTCCCGAACACGGCTCGAGGCTTCCTCTTTGAAGAGTCGGGGGGCGCCGTGGGGCTTAGGTCGCAATCTCCGGCCCAGCTTTCGGGGAGCCGGGACCCTCATTTCCAAGGGGCGGCCCGTGCTGGCGGGGGTGGGGGTATCTCCCTTGCCGAGAGGGGGCCTGTGCCTGCGACTCTGAAACCAGTTGGGACTCAGGGCGGTGCCACGGAGCCCTGAATTTCTGTCTTCGTCTCGATGCCCTTTAACTCATTTCCAGAGAACCTGATTCTGAAAGACCCAGACTTCGAGCATGAGAACTTGAACTTCCTCACTCGGAGCCAGCGTTACGAGGTAGCTGTTAGGAAGAGTGCCAACATGGTGAAGAAGATGAGGGAGTATGGCATCGCAGACCCTGATGAAATCATGTGGTTTAAAAAGTAGGTATTCCTCAACATAGATGACGTGCCTAAGCACGAACTTTATAAACTCGCGGTCTGTGGTTTGTTTCCTTTTTCATCGTGCTTGGTGTTTGAAGACTCAAACTGCGTATTTCACGCCCCTTTAAAAGTTGCATGTGTGGAAAATAATTTTTTGTGTGTGTATTTAAGCTTATTTAAAGGGATGACATTTGTAGAATGTTGATAATAAATGGAGATACCACGGTTTTCATTCTCGAAATCCCTTCGGCGTAAGGGATGACATTTGTAGAATGTTGATAATAAATGGAGATACCACGGTTTTCATTCTCGAAATCCCTTCGGCGCTGGCATCTCAGTTTTGAGTGATTTGAATGCAAATGACTTTGCTTTTGTATGGAGGAGGCCTGCTAAATCTAGAAGCTGAATTCGGAAGGATTTTTTTTCGGATGCAAGACCAAACATTTGGAGCAATAACTGTATTTTCATATGATAGTGTAGATCTTGAGTTTAAAATGATGGAAAATTTGGGATGAAGAACACTGGTTCAAACCTCAGATGAATATATACAGTATTCTGAGAACCCAGCATTGTCGAATTTGGTGGCAGTTCCTAAATGGGTTGTGCACACGACACCTCATAAAATCATACCTTGTGGTCCTAGTGTTGAAAAGAGGTTATATCCTTTTTCCAAACCCCCTTTTTTTATTGTTTGTTTTTTAATTAGAAGTCAAATAAGCACTTTTATTTTTGTGCCTTTAAACAAACTATAATTACATGATCTTGTAAGATTCTTTTGGCCTGTAGCATCTCTTAACACTTCTCGTGTATTCCTGGGCATTTCCTTTTTCAGGTTTCTACATTTTAAGAGAATTTCGCATTTTCATCAATAAAGATGAAATAAGATGAATGGCATCTATTCAAGAGCCAGGAAAAATGAGATTTGTTACAAGTTCTTCCTTTATGTAGTGATAGTTATTCCTTAAACTAGTGCCCCTAGTACATTTTGAAGATAACCACATTATCTTCAATCTGACCTGGTTATTGTGGAGATGCTATGGCCCTTAAGGAATGCCCTCACAACTCCTTTCCATTTTAGTTATAAAAATACTATTTATTTTTGGTAATCCAAATCAGAGTTCTTATTAACTTCCAAATGCTCTTTTTTAAAGTTTGTAACTCATATGCATGTTGAGGTGGAGTAGTGCCTAGATTGTCTCTGGATTAGCTTAATTTCGGTTTGTAAACTTAAAAAATTGAGTAAGATTTTATTTTTCCTTAAAAAGACACAAAAGAAGAGGTTTGTTTTGCTTTTAGATGCTTGGTGCAGTGTGTTTTAGAGTCGGTTCAAAGATTTTGTAATCTAGTGGTTTATAGTGCCTAACCAGACTCAAGTGAAGTCAAGATGAAACAGCAAATTCCTTTATGTAGGTTAAAGATCAGGTCAGCGGCCACCAGTCAATTGCTTTGTGTACATTTTTATGATACAGACCTTGCTGTTTGGGGAATATAAAGTACAAACTCCAACACACCTTTTGACATCCTTCCAACAGCCCTAGAATATGACAGTGGAGAAGGAGATTGAAAATTACGTGGCAGTTACTAACTGCCACCGAGTCTAAGCCTGCCATCGATTGTTACTCACACCCATGTTTATATTCCACTAAGAAAGAAAAAATGCTGCTAGTTAACTATGACATACCATTAATTGTGAGATGCATCTGATTTCTTAAATGCTTAAATTAGGGAGGGTGCAGATGCTAGAATTGATGAAAAACAGTAACTTTATGGGGATTTTGAGCACTTACTGGCCTCTTTTATATCCATTTCTCCTATCACAAAATAAAACCATACATGAGACTATTTTGAGGTTGACTGAATAATGAGTAAAACACTTTCAATGTGAACAACAGAACTGTTCTCTCCAGTCCTTAAGAAAATAAGACCTTGCTGTTTGGGGGATATAAAAGTTGTTTTCCTAGTCTCCATTCCTGTAATTTTGTCTTTTAACTGTCCTGTGTAGTATAAAGAAGACTGTAAAATGTTCTTAAGAGTAATTTAAAATTATTATGAGGATCAGCCATGGTTTCTGTTATCTTTTTTTGAGTTTTAAAGCTGACTCCTTGAAAAGCATCTTCAGAAGGATTAAACATAATAAAAACAAGCACACAGATTTTGTTCTTGAGTTGAATTTCAAGTGGCCTTGAAGAAAATCTCAGTATATTGAGAACATAAATATTTGACATGAAATCTGTGTCACATTTGTTCTCTTCTCAGTTTCCTACACTAAATTATTTTGTGTTAACATCATTTCCTCCTCAGTTCTCTCACGGGGATAGGAGACTCTTATATTGCCACTATTTTTAGCACTTGAATTACTGGTTTTATTTCTCAGGAATTCTTGTAGGTTCATTTCCTCTTTAGTCAAAAAGATTGTTAGGGAGTACTGTGGTGTTCTTGCATTTGAGAGAATGATTCCTACATTTATCTGATCAGATTTTTGGTTCCCACTTCTGTGAGGTGAGCTGTGTTTTGTAAAGTTTTGTGTGTTACTACGGCTCTACAGCAGCAATAAATTGCCAATCTGAATTACTTGGAAACTAGGTCACCTATTCTGTTCATTCCCCTTTTCCTTCTTTCCCTCCATTCAGTTTAAATTGCCACTTGATATTGGCATAAAAATCTTAAAACCTCCAGGTTAAAAAGCATTTTTGGTGGTGGCTACTTCAGGCATTCTTGGATGTTTGAGTCTGCCTTTAGCAACCCTGAAAGGTGATCTCTGCCCTCAAGGGGGTGGATTGGTTTCAGGGCCTCTCGAAAAGTGAATGGCAGCTTACTCCCCTTTAATCATGCTATGCATGTTGTACTGACCAGGATAAACTGGTGGTGACTCTACTTCCCTTTGTCCTTTGAGAAGTCATGAAGATCACTTCAGTGATACATATTTTATATTTTAAGCTCTTTAGAGAGATAGGTAGATAGGATAGAGTAAGATCCCTATAAAATCTCTTAACAGTGTGGCCAATGCTGACTCGCAATATGTAATTTCATATTTTGACTATTTCACATATTCTGTTTTATGAGAAAACAGTTGAAGAGTGAATTTTATTATAATTAGAGTTTCGTTTATTTGGAATAATTTTGAAAAGCTTTGGCAGTAAATTTTTAACATGCTCATGTATTTACTTACCCTTCTATAAACACTGAAGATCTTTAGGGGTTTGTGTTTTGGCCCTGGAGTGTGTATTTACTATCCTGGATGTTGGCTTCAGTTACCTAGGGAAAGTTTAAATTATTCTTCTCAATAAGCATTTGTTAACAGCTGTACAAATAAGTGTTCTATGGGATTCCTTTTGATTTTCAGAACAATTAAAACCTGAAAATAAAGCAAAAACAAACACACATACATACACTTCAAAAAAACCAAGCAATCAGACCAACAAAAAATACCATTAAAACCAAAAACAAAAGGAGTGAGTGTTTAGGCTAAAACATGGGTAGAATTTGTTTCGTGGATTAAGTATACCATTGAAGTGTGGCAATTCTGGCCCTGAAATGACCATGGGAAAAAGAGCACTGGATTCTGCTCTTGGCCTTCTAAGTAGCAAAATGGTAGATTTTATATTTAATTTCCTAAGAGAGGGGGTTAAATT